TTCCTTCCTTCCTTTCGATCGATCGTTTGTTCCTTCGTTCTTTCACAGGGTCTCACTATGCAGTTCAGGCTGGCCTTGAGCTCACTTTGTAGCCTAGCCTGGATTTGAACATGTAGCAATCCTCCTACCTCAGCCTCCCAAGTGCTGAGGTTACAGGCGTGCGGCACCATGACCAGCTACCTACTGTCTACTGTTAACAGATCTTAATATTTTGCTGTATATACTTGATTGGTAGAAGCAAGCATAAGGCTGGGCATGGTGGCATATACCTGTAATCCCAGCACTTGGGAGGCTGAGTGAGGCAGGAGTATCGCTGACTTCAAGGCCAGCCTAAACTAAGTAGTGCAACCGTGTTTCAGAAAAACAAAAAAAGCACAATTGAAGTTGCTACTTAACTTTAAGTAAATTTTGGTACATGAATAAATTAGATAAAAATATGCTAGAGCTTTGAGGATTAAATTACATTAATTATTATAAAGTAATTAACATGACACTGAAAGCCTGAATGAGATAGATTCCAGGGTAAGTTTTGCTCCTGAGACCAAAGGCTCAGATTGGTTGTGAGGTAGCCCACTGTCCACAGGCATGGGTGGCACATAGCGCTGAGCAAGGTAGTAATGAGTTGTGCTTTTCTCTTGCAGTGTGCCCCGCTGGGTGGAAGCCTGGCAGCGATACTATCAAGCCTGATGTACAGAAGAGCAAAGAGTATTTCTCCAAGCAGAAGTGAGCTCTGGGCCATGAGAACAAAAGCTCTTTTGTACATTTTTTTCATGCTTTAAATACAAGATGTGGTGTGGGGCAATACATGCCTTTTCTACAGGAGTTGGGGAAACCATCTTTCTTCCATTGGTAGTCATGGCCTGAGCCGTGTTGGAGGGTAGACCATCTGATAAGGTATGAAAGGTATGGTGTACCAGTAGCAGGCCCAAGGCCATTCACTGACTATGTCATTACTGACTTTTGTAGTGTCTATTAAACTTATACTGAGACCTTGGTGGTTTTTTGTTGTGTTTTAATGAGACAGTAACCTTGGGTTTTCCCTCCCTGCTGCCTCAGAATTAGAATTATATTGGGAAATACAGATAGACCCAAGGAATGGAACAGTGGCATTACTTTGATTTCACTACACCTGGGGGAGAAGAGCAAGCTGTCCTCAGGTAGTATTGATCAGGGTTACGGGTTATGGTTACAGTGGGATTACTTGGACATTATTTACACAGCTGGGAGGACTGCCTGGGAACTAGAAACTTTGCATCTTAGGACAGATGCCTGGTACCTGCCCTGTAAAAGAACAGATGCTTTTGTCCCTTTGGAACTGAATGGGAGAAGATAGCACTGGTAGCCTTGGGTGGAAGTATAATTGTGAATTCGTCATTTGTCCTCATGGCCCCTTTTGTGTATAACCGCCCTCATTCTTTTATCAGCCACTCCAGCCTGTCTACCCTTCCATGTAACAGACCAGACCTATAAACGACAGTGCAAGATTCTAGGGCCTTTATTCTTTTTTTTGGCTTTTTGAGACAAGAGTCTCCCTATTCAGTTCAGGCTGGCCTTGAGCTCACTTTGTAGCCCAGGCTGGTCTCACTCCCAACAATCCTCCCGCCTCAGCCGCCCCAGTGCTGGAATGATGTGTGTGCCACTATGCCCAGCTTCTAGGGCCTTTAGTGATTGCTATCATAGTACCTGTGTTTCAGAGTGTGTTAAACAATTTATTCAGTCCCCACATCCGATGTGGTCATTAGGGGTAGTTACCCCAAGGCTATCACTCCTTAACCTGGGGAGGACTGTAGATCAAACAGGCCAAGTCCCACCCGCAGTCCGACGTGGGTGGGGGTTCCTGGATGGGTCTTTGACTTGGTTATACAACCTAACTTAACCTTTACTTATCTTCATTGAAGATTTCTTTTACCCAAAGGAGTTACTTCCTTTAGGAAATAAAACCTCTTGCTGTGCCAGTCAATTAAGTCCTGGCAAGCATTGCCATAAGTGGGTTCCTACAGGGGGTGATGGTACCAAGGGCCAGGGGATGCAGATGGTGAGACATTGGGGCTGAGCCAGCTTCTGCCTTTGGGGAGCTTGTGGGGCTCCTCCGTGAGCTTGGTAAAGGGGAATTCAGGGGGTGTGCTAGGCTCCTCTGAGGGTTGGGTTAAGCCTAATAGGGCCAGGCGTTGGGCTGGTGGTGAGGAAAAGTAGGCCTTCTGTTCTTCTGAGTACCGCTCCTGGGGCATCACAGCATCTCGGTAAGTCCAGTCTTGCCAATGAAAATTGAAGTTTTCAAGCAGGGTAATTCGGTCAGCTCTTGCAGGCACACAGTCAGGGGGCTTTCTGGGCAGCAGATCTGGTACTTGGATCCCTGGCAGCAACACCACCCCTCGGATGGCAAACCAGCCTCCAAATCGGGGGTGTATGCACACGCCTGCTATGTGCTGGGGAGAACAAGAAGAGCAAGGTCATGGAGGTTACCTTGCCAGCAAGTCCAGCTACTACTGCAGGTCACGCTTGATCACCCACCTCCCACTCCGTGTATACTGATTCTGCGCACACCCCCTTTGCAGTACTAGGGGTCCATCCCAGGTTCATCCCTTTTGTGAGGCAAGTGTTCTACCATTGAGCCCCCTCCCCCTTTAAATTGTGGGACAGGGTCTTGGCTAATGCTCTGACTGGCCTTGAACTTAACTGTTCTGCTTCAGGCTCCTGCGCATTTGGGATTATAGGCGTGTACAACCATGCCCAGCCTGGACAACACTGGTATAAACTCCTGCTAAGGCAGAGCTCCCTTAGGCTGAGCCTAAATTCCCGATCTTACCACTGCTTTTCTGGGTATGGCTCTGCCTCTCCACCCTGAGACAGCCCTTAAAGGTAGGGTTTCAAGGACAATAGACGAGGTTTGCTTTTTTTTTGTTTTGAGACAGGGTTTCACTGTGTAGTCCAGGCTGACCTAGAAATGACTAGGTAGCCCAGGCTGGCCTCAAATTTGAGACCATGTGATTGTCCTGCCTCAGCCTCGGAGTGCTGGGATATAGGCAGGCACCACCACATCCAGCTAGACCAGTTTTTCTGACCTGATATTTCTAGGTAAACTCCAAAAAGCATGTGATGCGACGGCCCCTAGCCAAGGCATTACTGCTTTGTTCTACATTGTGTTTTTTTTTTTTTTTTTTTTTTTTGGTTTTTCTCCGGTACCGGGAACCGTACATTGTGTTTTCATATAGGGAAAGTGGAGGTATGTGGGACCTGTTGAGGCTGTTTTGAGGAGCCTTTACCCTTTTCCCTTGGTACACCCCCGTTCATTCACATTTGCCCTCTGACCTGGGACCCCCACGGGTCCGCCTCCACGTCTTGTCGTTGGTAGTAGTAAGCAGCTCCTGCCACGTGGGCTGCTGTCTGGGCCAGGATCTTAGGACGCCGGTTGGGGTGCAGCTCGTAGTCAGCAATGACTTCCACGTGCAGCTCTGGGAGGCTCTGCGACAGAAGACAGAGGCCTCGTCAGCATAAGGGGAGTTGTGTTTTATCCTGGAGCCCTAATTTGTGTGTTTGCTAACATGATTCTGTCCTCAGAAGTCTTGTTTGAAGGGAAAACATGACATTTATGTGGGAGGCCACAAAGTGAAGACAGTTATAAATCTTTCCATGAGACCCATATTTTAAGGAAAATACACAAGGTCTTGCTCAGTAACCTCCATTGTGAACAGTGATTTAGCCTTGCCCTTCGGAATCTCCGTGTGACACCCAGCATATGTACACATCTGTACATGAGTTTGTGGTGGCGAAATACTGCTTTGTTCTCTAAAGGCCCCAAACACTACATAAAGCTTACAAATCTAGGGCAAAGGAGGAGAGCAATGCCTGGAGGATGTTGGGCTCATTCCTACTCTGTCTGGAGGCGATGACTGGCATCAGGTTAGCAGAGGTGCCCTTCCGTAGGGTAAGTGAGATTAATTTCACATTGCGCATCTAGAACTTGGGTATGAGAAGGCGGAAGGGGGTGAAACCACAGAACGTCAGAGCTGGCTTCTGAGTATCGTTTCATGTGTAAAGTGGCTCCTGGCCGTAGTAGGTCTAGATCGTGGACTGAGCTTAGTGAAGACAGAAGCAGGTGAAAGTTTGAGGGCTGGGGAAACCGAGGCCTGCTCACCTCTGTGACACGCCTCAGGTGGTAGCCCACACACTGATCCACGGGGTCGGTCAGTGGTTGGAGGCGGTAGCTCTGCAAGAATGGTTTCAGGGCCCGGTCAAACATGGCAGGTGTGCTGAGTACCAGGAAGGCCAGGGTAGGTCCCGGCAGGGGCAGGTGGAAGGCTGAAGGCAGGAGTTCATTGTACCAGGCCACCTGGAATAGACAGAAAAGCTCAGGCCAGGCCGGAGAGCCAGCTTAGGCCTTAGCCAGGTCCAAACCTTTGCCTAGTATTCAAGGTTTCTTTTTTTTTTTTTTCTCTTTTGTCTTTTTGAGACAGGGCCTCACTTTGGAGCCCAGGCTGGCCTGGAACTCACAAGGATCCTCCTGCCTCAGCATCCTGAGTGCTGGGATTATAGGCGTGCACCACCATGCCCGGCTCCTTTTTTTTTTCTTTTTTTCCCAAGGTTTCATACATTTTGCCCCAGCCTCCATCTCACTGAATACGTTTTCACATTATATTGTGAAGTTTTCACATTATATTGCTATGAAGTTCAGGCTGACCTTGACCTCACTTTGTAGCCCAGGCTGATCTTGAACTTGCAATGATCCTCCTCCTTCAGTCTCCCGAGTGCTTGGACTACAGGTGTGAGCCTGGCTAGTATTGAGTTTTGAGCATTTAAAAAATATATAAAATACACGCTGGGCACGGTGGTGCATGCCTGTGATCCCAGCACTTGGGAGGCTGATCTCCATGAGTTTGAGGCCAGCCTGGGCAACATAGTGAGTTCACAGCCAGCCTAAACTACGAAGTGAGACTTTCTCTTAAAAAAAAACAAAAACCAAGTCAAAACAAAACAAAAAAGAAAACAAATCTCAATGCTTCCCATCTATATTATTAATGTCTCTGCCCTTAACAATATTTTCTTTTAATTTTTTATTAGTATATATTTGTAGTACACAATAGTTATTCATTTTGGGGAATTGGTACCTCTATATCATATCTTAATCATTTTCAATCCCTTTCTTCCCATCCCCATTGTGTATTTTAAATAGAGGTTACACGATAAGGAAAGGCACAGGTAGAAAAGTACAGAGCCTGTGTGGACAAGAGCAAACTGTAGTTTGGTGGGAGAGAAGGATCTGTATCAGAGAACAGAGAGAGAAAGCTGGAGATGTGAGGAGTGACATTGTGACTGACCTTGAACACCAATTTATGGGCTATGGATCAATTTGCTGACAATGAGGAGCCACTGAAGATTTAAGTCAAGTGAGGGGTGGGTATGGAGCCGAGTGGTACAGCACTTGCCTAACATGCCTGGTCTGACCTCCCAGTACTATAAAAACCAAAAGAAAACAGCGACCAAAATGAGAATAAACTGATATGATCAGCTTTAGGAAGACCTGGCTGAAGTGTGGAGGATAGACTGGAGGCAAGATGGCAGTAAGGAGGTTATTACTGTAACCCAAGTGAGCAACAGCAGCTCTGACCAGACCACAGATAGGAGGGATAGAAAGGCATGGATTTGGGAGATTCAGGAGACAAAGATCTTGCGGGGTGACACCATGTGGGTTCGGGGAGGTCAGGAGTAGGGGTTTAGACGGACTGGCCAGGCGGCAGCTGACTCTGTTCAGTATGAGAGTTCTTACTACCCAGACTGCCTGACTTTCCAGACAGGCATTCTCACTCTCCACATCTGCCATGCAGCACTACTTGCATATCTTTACTCACACTGAATTTTGGGATGTTAGGTACTCCTAATCCAGCTTGATGCTTACTGATTGATTGAGACAGGGTCCTGCTATATAGTTCAGGCTGGCCTTGAACTCACTATGCAGTCCAGGCTGGTCTTGACCTTGCAGGAATCTTCCTATCTTTGCTGGGGGAGCTTTTCATATATTGCTCAATTTCACCTCCCCAACACACACCTTTTTTTTTTGTCTTTTTGAGACACGGTTTCACTATGCAGTTCAGGTTGGCCTTGAACTCAGTTTGCTGCCCAGGCTGGTCTCAAACTTGCAACGATCCTACTGCCTCAGCCTCCCGAGTGCTGGGATTACAGGTGTGTGCCACCACACCCAGCATTTTTTTTTTCTTCTAGTTCTGAGTATTGAACATACTAGTCAAGTGTTCTACCACTGAGCTACATCCCCAGCCCTCAACTTCATTTTTTTCTGTCAAGTTCTCGCTCAAGCTACATCCAATCTATTTCATGTTTGATATTCTCTGTGCAGCCCTGCTCTGGACCTCTCAGTGGGGTGAATGGGAAGTAAGGCTGTCTCTCTTTCTCTTTTTTTTTTTTTGTATTTTTGAGACGGGGTCTTGCTATGCAGTTCAGGTTGGCCTTGAGCTCACTCTGTAGCCCAGGCTGGTCTTGAACTCACAATGATCCTCCTGCCTCAGCCTCCCAAGTGCTGGGATTGCAGGTGTGAGACACCACGGCCGGCAAGGCTGTCTCTTAAACATCAGGCAACTTTCTTTTCTTTCCTTCTTTTTTGTTTTTTTCCAGTACCGGGAATCGAACTCACGACCTTGCGTTTGCCAGGCAGGCGCTGTGCCACTGAGCTAAATCCCCAGCCCCCAGCATCAGGCAACTTAATGCCAAGTTGATTTAACTTTCTGTTTTAAGTATACAGCTCAGTGAAGCCAGTGCTGAACTGGGGAAATGAACTTATGTAAAAGAGTTGCAGGTGGAGTGAGGGTGGGTGCCCGAGACTTCTATGCCAGGCGGGTACTCAGGATTTCTGTATTTGGCCAAGCTCTGTTGGTTAGCAACATCATGAATTACCCTTCTGTTGGTACATGGAACAAACCAGCCAATTCCCTTTCTTTTTCTTTTCTTTCTTTCTTTCTTTTTTCTAATCAGATTTTACTGGTACATTTTAGATATACATATTGATCACATTCATAATAGAGAATTTGTACCTGTACATAATATAACTTGTTTTTTTTCTGCCATTCCCCTTCCCTCCCTTCAACCCCTCCTCCCCTCCCCATCTACCCGTTTTGTTTCCATTTTTTTCTTTCTTTTCTTTTTTTTAAACTTTCCCTTCTCCTCCCCCTTTGTTTCCCTCCCCATTTGAACATTTTCTTCCTATTTCACAATACCTATTATACAATTTGGTCCTTGTTTACGCTTTCAGTTTCTCACACCAATTTTAGTACATGTGCTGCCGAAGTGAGCACTTAGTTTCTGACACTAGAGAAACAATGTGATTTACACATGTGTGTCCGATTTATTTCACTTAAGAGTATGGTCTCAAGGTGCATCCATTTACCTAGAAAAGTCTCTAGCTTATCCTTCTTTATCTGCCAATTCTTTTCTTTGTTTCTTCTTCTTCTTCTTTTTTTTTTTTTTTCTTTGTCTTTTTGGGACAGGGTTTTACCATGCAGTTCAAGCGGGTCTTGAACTCACAGCAATCCTCCTGCCTCAGCTTCCCAGTGCTGGCATTATAGGCATGAGCCAACACGCCCGGCTGGCCAATTGTTTCTTGCTCAACACCAGAAATGCCCTTCCTGTCTTAGTTAACCTAAATCATAGCCATGCCGATCTTCCAGGTCTTGCCCTCTCCTAATTTAGGAGCTTCCAAGGTGATTCTGACCTCACAGGTGCCTTTCTTCCTGTAAATTACATAGTTGACAAAGCCACACAGGTTACAGGGTCGTATCGTGGTAAGACATTATATGGGAGTAAAGGGCAAACGTACGACCGCTTTTCTATTTTTTTTAAACCCAAGTCCCCGCTCACACACTGTCCCCATTGTTAGACAGCCCTGAGGAGTTTGGGGAGAATCAAAAGGCTCCCGGGGCTTCAAACCAGTTGCACCGAGGCCAACCACACACCTAACTCTAGAACCGCAGGAAGGATAAACGAACCTGAAAGGGGTAAACCTCGAAGCCAAAAGGACACAATGTGTCTTCAACCTTCTGCTTGAGCTCTGCCACAAGCGGATCCATAGCACACGCTGCTCACACTACACATAGCACACGCTGAGCTTTCTGGGAAATGGAGTCCTAGGGATAACTGGGTCGTTACTTTCCAAGACAACGTGGACTCCATTTCCCAGCAGTCACTGGGGCCAGCAGCCGCGCAAAATTGGCTCTGCGCGATGTATCCTGGGACTGGTAGTCCATTTATGCTTTGGAACCCATTATTACAGAGCTTAGGGGACTCGGTGTCCCGACAAGCTTCTGTGCTGAGGGTGTGAACGCATGTATTCTTCCAGGGAAACGTAGGTCGGTTGCCCGTAGCGCTGGTTGTCTTTGAAAGAGGCAGATTTAAGTGTCCTGGGTGATTTCGCTGTACCCTGTGTGAAGTCTTACTTTCTCCGCCTACTCCAGAGTTTGAAAGTAGCGGCGGAGGCCGGGCGTGGTGGCGCACGCTTGTAATCCCAGCACTCGGGAGGCTGAGGCAGGAGGACTGTTGCGAGTTCGAGACCAGCCTGGGCTACAAAGTAAGCTCAAGGCCGGCCTGAACTGCATAGCAAGACACTGTCTCAAAAAGACAAACAAAACAAAAAACAAATGAAAGTAGCGGCGGCAGTAAACACCGACACAGGTTTGGCATGATGGCGCCAGGGTCTCGGCGCCTCTTGCAGTCACTGGATATCTACGTTTGAGGGTATTTCGATTTCCTTCCGGTTCTCCAAGAATGCCACTGCCTTGCCTAGTGACTGCCAGAGTCGCAATTTTGGCCTGATATTGTACCTCTGTCCCTGGTATTGCATCCTCACCTATTTCCATTCTAACGCGGTGGCCTTTACTGGGCTGTGCCTCGGGGGTACCCTGCAAGGACAGCGAGTGTAGGAGAAGCCAGAGAGCTGAACCCCTGCTGCGGGATATGAGTAGGAACCTGAGCTGGACCGAGCAGCTCGATGCGCTTCTGAAGGCAACTGATGGAAAAATAGCCCGGATGAAGGTGAGGCGGCACAGGCTGTTGTATGTTTGTAGGTTGGACAGGTTAAAGGACACTCAGAGCTCACAGGCCTGTGCAACTATTTCTTTTGTAGCAGAGGCTGTATGCCCTGGGGGTTTCCACCACAGGTGCTATTGTCCCTGCCTATTCCCCAGCCTTTTCTCTTTCGGAGATATCCCTTTTCACCGTGCCTGTACCAGCCACTATTTCCTCCAAATTCCAACTCTTTCGTGAGCTCTTTACCCACGCATTCTGTTCTCCCATAGTTCTTTATTGGTCTTGCCCTTGTGCCTTCTTTATTCCCTCACAGGAGACCTGGCTGGAACCTGGATTTCCCGTTGTTATTTGCCTCCCCAATTAGGAGCCCAAGCTCAACAGCCTTGGGCTCTAGACACTCCCCTTGTCCGAGAGAGTTTGAGCGAGGCTGAAGCCTATAGACCATCCTCTCTCTGGGATGAAGTTACTGTTCTCCGATCTCAAATTCAGTCTCAGGCTCGGGTGAGGCTTGGCATTGCAGATTTGTACACATGGTGTGTGTATGAGATGAGAATACCAGGGTTGGGAAAGCCTCTTACGCAGTAGCTCAAGTGTGTTTTCTTCTTGGGTTGGTGACGGAGGCACTGAAGCAGGCTGTACAGGGCCTGCTGAAAGATCAACAGCAGCAGATGTACAAGATCAGTGCCTGGAAGGTATCAGGCCAGTTTCTTTTTTTCTTTATACACACAGTTTTCTTTTGTTTTGATGCTGGGAATTGAACAGAGTTTGCATATATTAAGCATGTGGTCTTCCATTAAGCTACACTCCCAGTCCCTTACACATGCAGCTTTATATGTGTGCATACAATTTTTTTTTGGAGACAGGGTCTTGCTATATAGTTTAGCTGGCCTTGAATTCACTATGGAGCCCAGAATGGCCAGGAACTCTCCAGTGATCCTCCTGCCTCAGCCTCCCACATGTGCTGGGACTATGAGCATGTATCATGATGCCAGCTTGTGCACACAGTTTTGCTGCACACCTCTTGTGTGCACATATCTTAATTTGCAAGTAATGTCTGGGTTCACATGTAAAGTTCTCAGTCAGAGGGACTGACACTCAACTTAGCACACTATAGCGTCATTAAGGTTGCTGCTGGGGGGCCTTAGGAGGGCGAGCCCATCTCTTGGAGCAATGGATGGAGCAGCTGAGAAGGGAACTGCTGGACCTTCAGATCCAGTTGCAGGAGTGGACCCACATCCAGGCCAAGTGGAATCAAGGCCAGGAAGTGCAGTACTAGCACTGTCCTTCATCAGAAGATGAAGACTGCAGACTGAGTATGTGATGGGCAAGGCCTTACCTTTTTTTTCCTTCTTTTTTTTTTTTTTTTTTGAGACAGGGTCTCGCTATGCAGTTCAGGCTGGCCTTGAGCTCACTCTGTAGCCCAGGCTGGCCTCGAACTTGCAATGATCCTCCTGCCTCAGCCTCCCAAGTGCTGGGATTACAGGCAGGTGCCACCACACCCAGCTAGGCCTTACCTTTTTGAGGCTTCTGAAATCTTGGCATTCTGGGAGAATGATGGCCTCCTCACTCTGGGTTTGTGGATTAACTCTAGAATGACACACTATCACTCATGTAGGCGGCAACTGCTGTGGAAGGAGTCTGAGATTCTGTGGAAGGAACTAAAGTTGCTGCGGGACCAGCTCAGGTGAGTATGTAATTCCTTGCCCTCTTGTCTGGGGTGCCTCCAAACAAGTGGTCATAGCTCTGCCTGTTTGAGCTATTGAGAAGTCTGGCATAGTATTTCATCGCGTTTTTTGCCTCTCATGAGTGAGTTTAGCCTCTCTAGTCATCTTGGAAGCTTTCCAACAGCTGGACCAGAATGCTCTTGTCTTGGGCTGGGGGTTTAGCTCAGTGGCACAGCGCCTGCCTGGCAAGTGCAAGGTTGTGAGTTTGATTCCCAGTACCAGAAAAAAAAAAAAAAAAAAAAAAGAATGCTCTTGTCTCAGTTTTCAGCACTAGGCTGGTCACAAGGCGAGGAAGGAGAAGCTGGAGGGCAGTCACTTTGTATTCTGTCTCGTCTGCACACCAGCTCCAGGAGCTGCTAGTGAAACATATGGCTGAGGTCTGGCTAAGGTCAGGCCTGAAGCTAGAAGGTAGGACCAGGATCAGGCTTGTCCTTTAAATATTTCCAAACTCTGTTTGTTCTTTAGGGCCAGGATATCATCTTCTACCCCCATCTCTACCCGTTTCTTCCCTGTGATGACTTTATGTTTTTCCAAAGCTCTTCTTCCCATTTCATTTTCTCTAAGCTGTGAGAAACTGTCCCTGCCCACACGAGCATTTCAAATGTGTGGAACAGGCCAGTTATAGGGAGAGACTTTCTTCCTGTAGAAGGAGAGGTTTCATCCTACCTGGGTTCGTGGTCTGGCGGATGTTGGCGCAGCAGCAAAGTAGCCAAGAAGGCAAGGATCACATCCTGGAGGTTGCCAGAACAGAAGCCTGGGATGACCCACAGGAGCATGGCTTCAGGTCAGAAGGTGTAGGTGCAGGGAAGGTGGAGAGGATTTGTCTCACAGAGGTCAAGCACGAGGGACCAAAGTTCAGCTATTCTAAATTTGGCCAGAAGGGGCCAAATTGGGTTGCAGTCCATAAGGGCAGTATTGGGCATTCATGATCCAGGATCACTGAAATACCTCTATATGTTTGGATGCTAAAGGGAGAGACTGGAATCCTGGCTTCAGAAAGGAGGCTTCAGTGCCGGGAGGGTCCCCTAGACCCGTCATTGCCATCTCTACCTCTGATTCTGTTCTTTCCAGGTCTTCTGTTCATGTCTTCCAATCTAAGCTGCCGCTGGCCACTGCCTTCATCTTATTTCTGTCTTCATCTAGTTCTGAAGCCAGTTTTCCACATAGTAACCGTAGCAGGGAACTTTTCTTTTTTGGTATGTATGTATGTATGTATATATGTATGTATGTATGTATGTATGTATGTATGTATTTAGAGACAGGGTCTTGCTATGCAGGCTGGCCGTGAGCTCACTTTGTAGCCCAGGCTGGTCTCAAACTTGCAGTGATCCTCCTGTCTCAGCCTCCTTAGTGCTGGGATTACAGGTGTGCACACCATGCCCTGCAAGCTGGGAACTTTTAAGGAAACTAAGTAGGGATAAGGTTATGATCCTGGTCCTGGGGGAGAGTGAATCTGAATGGTATCTGCTGCTTAATGTTTGGCACTGGAGAAATACGTCCCTCTCATCAACAGGCCCAGGGCCTAGCTCTGTGCGTAACATAGTTCTTAGTCGTTTTTCTCTTCCCTTTTCTTTCCTCTTAGATCTCCAGAGGAGCATCCTTTCTAACCTCGAACCTAGCAGCTCTCGGCTCCATCCCCAGAATCTTGAGCAAGATAACCTATGCCTTCAGGACCCCAACATGCTCCTGAGTGAGCGTGAGGATGAGTGAACAGTAGGATGAAGCCTTCTTTGCCCACCTTCCCACAAGCTTGTTTTTGGTAGCCTTCCTGTTCCCTTTGATCCATCTGGGATGCGATATCTCCACTGAGACTGCCCACTGCCGACCTCTTCTCCCTCTCCAGCTACAATAAAGTGGTTTAACTTTCCCTGATGTATTTTATTTCTTTCTTTTTCTTTTTCTTTCTTTCTTTCTTTTTTTTTTTTTTTGAGAGACGGTCTCACTATGTAGTTCAGGCTAGCTTTGTACTCACTATGTAGCCTAGGCTGGTCTTAACCTCAAGGCAATCCTTCTGCCTCAGCATTCTGAGTACTGAGATTACAGGCATGTGCCACCACGCCTGGTTTCCCTGATAATATGTTTTCTGAGTGATGATTCACATGAAATAGACTCAGCTGTATCCTTTCTTTCCCCTGTTATGTGACTGCCTCCTGTGGCCTCCACCTTTTAAATTGGAGACATCTATAGCTGTACCTATAGATGTGCACACTTTAAGTACACACTCAAGTGAAGTTGGAAAGAGAGAGAAGCTCCCATTCTGGTGGGTTGAATGAAGCAGGACCTTGCTGTGGGGCAGTAGTACTATGGGGTCACAGAGCAGGATGAGATTTTCTGGTGGACCCTGGAGCTGGGCAGTAGGAGATTTCCTTTCTTCATCTCTAGCTTCTGCCTCCTGAAGCTTATTCAAGCCTCTCCACACCTCTTCATCCCCAGCAGCCCAGCCTGTTCTTTTGTTTGTTTGTTTGTTTTTTTCTCTTTTTGAGACAGGGTCTCATTATGCAGTTCAGGCTGGACTTGAGCTCACTTTGTAGCCCAGGCTGGCCTCAAACTTGCAACAGTCCTCCTGCCTCAGCCTCCCGAGTGCTGGGATTACAGGCTTATGCCATGATGCCTGGCTTTTTTTTTTTTTTCAAACCTAATGCATTTATGGCAGTGCAGGAACTAATGAAGGTACAGTATCCAAAAACTGTAAACATGGCAAAACAAATATATAAAACAGTAGGCTGTGTACCATGCACATGATGTGATGGCAATTTATCTCTGTACAGTCTCACATCTCATACTCTTTGGTGCAGTTTATTCCCCCCACCCCCACTCCCAAGTGACAAGCATCACAGATGAATATTTCAACCTGTGTTTCTGTAGAAACCTCTTCCTAGGTCTTAAGTCTCTCTGACTTCAGTCTAGTGGTCATCAGAAATTTTTGACTGTTACCTCCAGTAAATACACATATTCATCGCTAAAACAATAACTTCATGATTCTTATTAGGAGTAGATGCACTCTGTTACTTTTTCTTTCTTTCTCCCTTTCTCCCTCTTTCTTTCTATGCTGAGGATTAAGCCCAGGGTCCTGTGCATATTAGGCGTGAGTTATGCCACCAAGCTATGCCCCAGCCCATTTCTATTATATTTCATTAAAAAATGCTTGTGGCTAATGAATTTGTCCTTCCCACAATTTGGTTTTCTGGAAAGTATATTTTTCTAGCTATGGACACTTTTTTTTTTTTTTTTTTTGGTCTTTTTGAGACAGGGTCGAGCTATGCAGTTCAGGCTGGCCTGGACTCACTTTGTAGCTCATGCTGGTCTCGAACTCACAACGATCCTCCTGCCTCAGCCTCCCGAATGCTTGGCTTACAGGCGTGAGCCACCACGCCTGGTGGACACCTTTATTTCTCTTTACCTGGGCTTTGTGTTCTACATACTCCAGTCCAAGATTTCTTAAGCAGTAGGAATTCACTGAGGCCTCAGGAGACCTTTCCTACTGCTAAATGTAGGGCTGGGGATTTAGCTCAGCGGCCCAGGGTCTGCCTGGCAAGCGCAAGGTCATGAGTTCGATTCCCGGTACCAGAAAAAAACAAAAAACAAAAAAACAAAACAAGACTACTGCTAAATGTAGGCAAAAGATAATGTGGAGAGCAGCCCGGGTATGTATTTGCCTGAGCTAAGATGTGCAGTGGGCTGTGGACAGGTTCCCAGAGTTGACTCAAACCCCACAGACTCAGTTTAAAAAAAAAACAAAAATTTACCATGAAACCTCATCTACCTGCTGAAGCATGTGCAAGGAACTGATGTCTTTCACATCCTGTGCTGGGCAGGTGGTTTGTCTGGCATGGTGGCATTTTAAAACTGATTTCTCTACTTATTTATCAACTGCTTTGTATCAAATTATGTGGGAGATAGGCTTGCAGGGGTGGGACATCCTTCCCAACAGAAATCTTTTTTTTTGTTTTTGTCTTTTTTTGAGACGGGGTCTCGCTATGCAGTTCAGGCTGGCCTTGAGCTCATTTTGTAGCCCAGGCTGGTCTTGAACTCACAACCATCCTCCTGCCTCAGCCTCCCGAGTGCTGGGATTACAGGGGTGCGCCACCACCCCTGGCCCCAACAGAAACATTAAACAGCAACGTGAAATAGTATTTTAAAAATTTTTATTGGTACATTTTAAATATACATGGTAAGATTCATCATAGGGAATTTGTACCTGTATATGACACACCTTCCTTCCTTTTTTTTTTTTTTACATTCTTCTCCCCTCCTTTCAACCCTTTACAAAACTCCTTCTTTTGTTTTTTTGGTACCAGGAACTGAACTCACGACCTTGCACTCGCCAGGCAGGTGCTTATGGCACTGAGCTAAATCCCTGGCCCCACAACATGTCTTCTTTACAACTCCTTAGTTACAAAAGTTTTGTTTCCATTTCTTTCCTTCTATTCGTTTATCTTGTCCCTTCCTTCCTTTCCTGGAAGAGTAGTAGTTGAACTGTCACCAGGTGGCAGCACATGATTTGTTGCCTAAGAATGATACTGAAAATGCTTTAGATCAGAGAATTAGACTGGTGAGATCTCTCTCCTTTCAGAGATTTTGTGAGCTATTAATTAATCTTCCTAAAACAGTGCCCTGTTTAGATTATGCTCCTGTTCAAGAATAGCCCTCAGTATAAAAACAAAAGACACATTTGGCATAAAGCCCAACCACATTCAGCCTCTTCTTTCTTGTTGGGGGGCAGTGGGGAGGTTACTGAGAATTGAACTCAAGACCTCCCACTTGTCAGGCATGTGCTGTGCCACTGATTTGTATCCCTGGCCCGCTCTCTCTCTCTTTTTAAACTACACATCTTTGTTAAACTTCATTGCCACCAGGATCACCAGTAATCTGATTATTTAAATCCCATTCATCTATCAAAAGCCTCCTCTTCCAGGAAGAGGAGTCTAAAGATATCTGAAAGGAGGTCTGTAACACTACCGAATGCTGGTCCAGTAAACTCTATCCTCCACTGTCCTCCTTGCTCTTGCTCGCCTGGTGCAGCTCCTGAGGCATGAGTCTAGGAGCTCCTGGGGCCCAGGTATATGGAAGGTATGAGGAAATAAGTACCTGCTTTGTTTTTTAAGACAGGGTCTTTGTTTTGTAGTTCAGGCTGGCCTTGAAATCTTGGCGATCCTCCTGCTTCAGCCTTCCATGCTGGGATTACAGGCATGGGCCACCACACCCAGCTATACTTGTTTTAACAGTTGGATAGTAATCCCAGCACTCGGGAGGCTGAGGCAGGAGGATCCTTGCAAGTTTGAGACTAGGCTGGGGTAAAAAGCAAGCTCAAGGCCAACCTGAACTGCACAGCAAGACCCTGTCTCAAAAAGAAAAAACAAAACAAAAAGAAAAAAAAAAAAACCCAAAACAAAACAAAACAAAAATCAGCTGGATAGACTGTATTTTTCACACACCTCTTCCAAAAACCTGTTTTCAGGCCAGTTGAAGTGTTACCTCTTTTAAGCCTTCATGGAGTCCGATCTTTTAGTCTATAAGAATCTTTCCCTCATCATTCTTTTTCTTTTGGTCTTTGTGAGACAGGATCTCACTATGCAGTTCAGGCTGGCCTTGAGCTCACTTTGTAGCCCAGGCTGGTCTCTAATTTGCAACGATCCTCCTGTCTGAGCCTCCCGAGTGCTGGGATTGCAGGTGTGCACCACCATGTCCGGCTCCCTCATCGTTCTCTTTGGCTCTGTGGGGATGCTGCAGGACACTGCATTCATGTGTATTTCCTTTTACTTTTATTTATTCTATTTATTTTTTATATTTACTTATTTTTATGAAGACAAGGTCTTCTGTACGGTCTAGTCCTCCCTCGAACTCTCAGTGCTGGGATTACAGGCATGTGCCACCATGCCCGAATAGCTTTTCCTTTCTCAGCTAAACTTTACCCAACCCAAAAGCCTCGTCAATCTATTCCGTTTTTTTTTTTTTTTTTTTAACTTTATCAACTACCAGTAGTTCTGTCTTTGACATTTTGATTGGTCCCCCCTGGGTTGTTGTTTCGCCTTCTGAGCAGCTCGTGGACTTGGGTTTTCCTCAGGAGCAGTCTCTGCTCCTCGGTTCTTCCTTTTAGACACACTGCTTCTTCTGTTTTTACCTCTACTTTCTTCCTATTGGTTCCCTTCATCCCCAAAGAGTTGGCGCCTAGAGCTGTTGATTGGCTCCTCTGTACGCCCATTGTGCCCACCCTTTGTACCACGTGGCATTCCTAACGCTAATTGGGCAGTTCCACTAGTTCGTTTATCATAGATCAACAATTGATTGGCTAGTTTGAGGGCGGGCCCAAGAGAGGGCGTGGCCGGCGGCGGCCCCTCCCCAACTCGCCTGCCGGAGCTTTAGCCGCCCGCGAGCGCCGGAGGAGCTTCCCGCTGCCGTCCCGCTCTGACCGGCTGCGTAGTCCTCCCGGCCCCGCCAGACAGGTGCGGGGGCAGCGGCCCCTACTGCTGGGCGATGGCCGCGGTGTCCCCGTCTTCGGCCGCCGCCAGCCCTGCCGACTCGCCGGCGTGCGCGCTCGGGACCCCCACAGCCTCCGCCG